TTCTCCCTTCTCAGCGCCATATTGTGGGAGAGCAGATGCATAGAATAAGTCTTAATTCCAGTAACTTAGTCTAGTCCGAGTTGCTCCCCACAATTCCCAGACCTTCTGTGTCAACTGTAATTGTTCATACAATTAATCTATTAAATAATCAATTATGTAAATCAATGTCATGGGTGTATAAATGAGAATGGCTATTTCTCAAAAATGTTTTCAAAAGGCAGCAAAGTTCATTTACTAAAAAGAAATTATATAGAATTGGTTGGGAATGAGATAATGGTAAAATATTAGAGAAAAACAAATCTGGAAGGATTCTGTTTTGTAACTTTTTCTTATTAATAGAAATGTAATTGGCAAATATAGTTGATGATTATTGGTGTGATTTATTTAAGAAACAAAGCATGTAGCTACATTTCATATGCAGTTGTTAGTAGTCTCATGGAGTTCTTATGTATTAAATTAGATAAGGTTCACATAAAGCACTCCACAATATATCTGGTATTTTTTTTTTTTTTTTTTGACAGGCAGAGTGGACAGTGAGAGAGAGAGACAGAGAGAAAGGTCTTCCTTTGCCGTTGGTTCACCCTCCAATGGCCGCCGTGACCAGTGCGCTGCGGCCGGCGCACCACACTGATCCAATGGCAGGAGCCAGGTGCTTCTCCTGGTCTCCACGGGGTGCAGGGCCCAAGCACTTGGGCCATCCTCCACTCCACTCCCTGGCCACAGCAGAGAGCTGACCTGGAAGAGGGGCAACTGGGACAGAATCCGGCGCCCCGACCGGGACTAGAACCTGGTGTGCTGGCGCCGCAAGGCGGCGGATTAGCCTAGTGAGCCGCGGCGCCGGCCTATCTGATATTTAATAAGCATTCAGCACATGTTAGTTCTCCTTGTGGTTATTATTGATTTAATAATTGTACATCCAGGCAATTTTTCAAGAAAGGAAAAAATGATAAAGGTTAGACCAAATCAATATTTTGAAAGAAAGTATTGGGATAACTTTAAATCCAACAACCAAATATTAGATAGCAAAAGATTTGAAGTTCGTGATTTTTAACTTTTTGTATACAAATATATAGGTGTAAAATTAAGAAAGTATTTATTATCTCATTTCTGCAAAGTTAGATCAGAAGAGGAAACACCTGATTCATTGAAAACAAGGTTTTTGCCCATTCAAATGTAATTGAAATTGCCAGTGGCCTTAGATGCTACTCCACCTCTCCCTGTCATTATATTTCCTGTTAGGTAAGGATTATGATAAATAGCTTAATTAATTTATCAGGTATCAAGAATTACTTTGAGTTCTTTTGGGAAAGGTACACGCTGGTCATATTGTGTTCTCTCACCTGGCCCATTGTGTTATTCATGCTTCATGAGGTTTTCCAACCTTTATGATAGGGCTCAATGACATGCTAATGTTTTTAAAAATGAATTTTCCATCAAAGTTCTACTCCTATTCATTTATTATGGTGTTTATGCCAAGTTTCCACGGATGAAGCATGCTTCACCACAGACAACAAAAAATGGCTCAGAATAAAGTAAAGGGATAAAGAGGAGAGATTCCCTTTGATTAGATTGCATATGCCACTAAATTAAGTCTTAATTCTATATTAAATACAAGAATATATGTACTAGATATGTAATTCACATTTTGGCTAATTTCAGTGGTTCTGGCCAAGCCAAATTACTTTCTGTGATGCGAGGCAAAACCCCACTGCTGACATTTAAATTCATGCTTATAGTTGATGATGGAGAAACAGTCATAGTTATTTAATGTATGACCACATAGCTAATCAGTTAGTCTACACTGATTGTGTGGACTGAGTCACACAATCATCCTGGACAGTCACTACATTAAAATATTAATGTAGTAGCAATGATTTAGAAGATCAAAACGTGTAAAGAAGTATACACTTTACAGATAAGACTATGAAGGTGGAAAAATACATGTTTCCTTAGGAGAGGATACATAAAATCAAAAATTTCATTTACTTTTCATATCTTTTTATCAGATCCTTTAAGAAATATATTTCAAAAGTTAAATGTGATATGTATTTTACTTTGCATGGCACTAAACTAGGTTTGGGGAAGTTACAGTTATAAACCTGTGTTCAGTAGGTTTACTATATAGCATGGGAAACATGCATTTGATGAATATACTTCAGTCTGTTCTGGATGCACAGCCAAAGCAGACCAGGGAAGAGTACCCAATACCTGAGTACACTCTCATTAACATGTCCTTATGCCAGGTTTCCAAGGACCCATTAGAAATTGGCAGATTACGTTGCACAGCTTTTACATTTGAACCAGCATGGAGATGAAAGAAAGAGCCTACCATGTCCACATTTTCTAAGGAAATGCCTTGATATTATAAGCCAGAGACCTTAAAAGCAATACCTGATTAAAACAATCACTCATACAATCAATAAGCAACTATCCAGATTAAGAGATAAGGAAGCAGCTGCACTTGACTTTTTGAATAGCTATTTTTCTACACCAATTTAATTTACTTCCATGATTAATGGGCAGACTACATAATGATGATATGCTAGATAAAATCAATTTTTTATGGGGGAAGATTTTGGATTCTAGCCTAAATGATATTCTTTTCACTAAGCCATGAAAGTGTGACCTTAATCATACTACTGTTACATGGGTGAACAGGTAAATATAGAGTTGCAATTACATTAAAGTGGGTTGCAGCAGTGGGTTACATATCAGGTTCCAACCCATGGGGATCAGATGTACTAAAGGACCTATTACATATTGATGAGCTATATAAATGACTTATAAATACCTTCATCCAAAATGCAGAAATTACTAAATCAAGAAGACTGCTGATACTTTATACTAGGAAATTCATAACAACACTATTCAAAAAGCCTTCAGTTGTATTCTTAAAATCATTTAAAAGATAGAATAATATTTCTTTGATGCAGGTATAAACTAGTATATTTTAGAGTGAATGAAATTTGGTGAAAGATTGTGTTAATCTACAGTTATATTTTTCACTGAGAATCTGTGTAAAATTAAGTGCTTAGGACAAATGTCTTTGGGCAAGGAACCAATAAGATGTTTATCCTAATTGGGATTTTAAAAAGACAATATTATAAATGAACCACAGTGAGAGTGGATTATTTAGACGGAGCAAGAGAAAACAGAGATTTTATGTTGCCACTGCTTCAGCCATACCACCTCAATGTAAGATTTTTTATGCTTTTGAAAATTATTTGAGAGGCAAAGAGACAGAGAAAGAGACAGACAGAATTCCCATCCCAGGTTCACTCCCCAAGTGACCACTACAGCCAGAGCTGGATTAGGCCAAAGATAGGAGCTGGAAACAAACCAGGTTTCCCATATGAATGGCAGTGACTTGAGCCAGCAGGAAGCTGGAATTGGGAGCAGAGCTGTGACTCAAGCCCAGGCACTCCAATATGGGATGCAGATGTCCTAAGTGGCATCTTAACTACTGCGCTGAATAATTCACTACTTGCTCAAGTTTTTTTTTTTCCCTTAAGATTTATTTTATTTATTTGAAAGGCAGAGTTATATATAGAGAGAGGAGATAGTGAGAGAGAGAGAAAGAGAGAGAGAGAGATCTTCCATCCACAGGTTCACTCCCCAAATGGCTGCATCAGCCAGGGCTGGGCCAGACTGAAACCGGGAGCTTCTATCTGATCACCCAAGTGCTTGCAGGGGCCCAAGCACTTGGGCCATCTGCACTGCTTTCCCAGGTGCACTAGCAAGGAGATAGATGGGAAGCAGAGCAGCCAGGACACAAATAGGCGCCTGTATGGGATGATTGTTGTGGGCAGCAGCTTTACCCATTATGCCACAACACCAGCCCCTCAAGTTTTTATCAACAATTATTTAAATGAAAAGCACATAGAGAGCAAAATATTACATATGTATGTATAAAATATAGACTACAATGGCCAATAATAATATACTATATATTATAGTATATATTATATTACAGTTGAATAGTATATATTAAAAATAATGTGGCATAGTATAATATATATTTTATTCAGAATATGTTACTTAAGGGGAGAATTTGAACTGTGTAACCCAAAAAGCCAAAAGCTACAGAGTCATGTAATTATCTCTTGCAGATTCCTAGGATAGGTGGAAGTTGGCCTCTTCCCAGCAACTGAACAAGTAGAATAGTTGAATAAGTAGAAATACACTGTTCCTCTCTCTCTCTCTCTCTCTCTCTCTCTAACTCTGCCTCTCAAATAAATAAATCTTAAAAAAAAATGACTAAACTATATTACATCTGGCTTACTTCATCTGCCAGAAAGAAGCTCTTCCTGAATATCAGGCTGGGGAATCACCAGTTCAAGGAAAATTCTAAGATTTCTTTATTACAATTCTCATTACAGAATAAATTACAATTAATTTCAGGGTAATTTAGATATTCATGAGATTGCTTCCCTCAGAGTCTTCTTTTACGTTCAATTTCAGTTCTTTCACTCTTCTGAGCTTCCCAATCTAAAGTATCCAATAGTAGACCAATGATCCTCTATGCAGGAGATGCGCATGATATTTCTATCTTGAGAACCAATTTTATCCAAAGGTATATATTCTAGGTATTCAATTTTACATGAAGATTCTAAGTGGAAAATTAACGATATTAACACACTGGTGTGTTATGGAGTAGAACATGAAGAATCAAGGGAAATCATCTTCCTTGCAATGACTGTTTTCCAACTGCACTCACCCCATCTGTTTTCAGCTCCATCCAAAGCACAGACACAAAGCCTAGTTGTCTTGTGTGCAGATTGAAAGTAATACCAGATTTCCTACTAGGTGACCCCAAGCCTGTCATCTCTGTATTTTTAACCCAGAGACATAGAGGATGACATAATGTATTTCTCCCACAATTTCCCTTGTTTCAAATAAAATATGAGAACTTTAAACTCATCTTTGTATACAGAGTTTTGCAGACGTCTTTAGATATGCTGGCTTTCCACAAGTGTAAATTTTCTTTCTGTTCTTTTCAGGATGGGGGCCTATGAGTTATCTGCAACCTGTACCCAGAATCAGTGAGTAGCCTTCTCATAATGTTTGAGTCTCAGGTATTGTATACATAAGCAAACCAACAACTGGAATAGATGAAAACCTTACAGTGTTTTTTTAAGCACCTGTTCAGTAACAAAAACCATCACTAGAAAGCACAGGCTAGATGGCACTATTAGATTGTATAAAATCTTGGAGGGTCAGGAGAAAAACACAGACCAGAATCTTTGCCCTCCAGGAATTTACAAAAAAAATCAAAAGTTTCCAAGATCAATTTCAGTTATATCTAACTTGATGAGTAATTAATGTTTATCTTAGTTGAAAAAGTTTGCATTTTTCTACTTTTGTTTTTAAGGTTTTCCTTAGGATATTTATTTTTCAAAATGTCTTCTTCTATAAATGCAGTAAAAATGTGTTAACTCAGATACTGCTGATTCACAGTTTTTCATCATTTGGTCTAGACTAAGCTGAAACTTACCTTTGATTTGTCTGTAAGGAATGGATTTGATAATCAAAATATAGAGACCACTGTAACCCATGTTAAATGAACACATTGTTTGCACAGCTTTAGCATAAGTGGACCTTAGACAAAAAAGATTCAGCTGTAAAATAAGGATCCATTTTATCAAGTGGTTGTCTCCTTAGACAAGCTTTATTGGCAGATTGTAGTATTGAAAGAAATAAAATTGCATTGCCTTCAAAAATCTGACTTCCACATTTCAGGCTGGCTTTTCCTCCCCACTTTTCCAAACTCATTATTCCAATCAAATGAAGTTTCCTATTGTGTAATATGTGAACATAAGAATTTATTAATGGGAGAAGATCAATTCCTATTAAGTTACATTTACAAATTGCAAATGTAAAATTTAATGTTTGAATGCTTATTCATAGCATTGATCACCTGGATCAGAGCAGTGTATTTACCTTCACAAGGAAAATTATGGATCATTTCCTTTCCTTTTTCATTTATCTTTTCATTTGAAACTCAGTATTTTTACAAAGTAAACAAGACAAATTCCCAGCATAAAGCAAAGGTTTGAGGTAAGAAAAAAAGATCAAAATTAGACCACGTCTTTCTTGGGGCATTTGGAAAAATTGGAATAGAAACTGAGTCACAATTCATTTGTTTATTCTTTTATTCATTCAGCAATCATTTAGCCAAGGGCAGTGCCTAGTACATCAAGGGATATAGCAATAAATATAATTCTCTTCTTGTTTCATCGTGCTAGCAGCCCATCAGTTCAGACTGAAATGGAGACAGTTTCATTAGTAATAATTTCCTCGTGTAATAAGTGATGTATTTCCCAATAAGCAAAGTGTTCTGGGAACATGAAGAATACATCATTAAATCTCATCAGAGGAGTAGGAGAAATAATCATAGCAGATATAACCTCTGAGCTGATTCTTAAAGAAGGAATAGAATTCCAATAAGTAGAGGAAAGGATGGTATTTCAAGAGAACACATTTAAAAAACACAAAAGCATGGAGATCTAGATGTACATGGATTGCTGGAGAAAAACAGCAAGCTTAGGATTGTGGAGTGCCTAGTGGGTGAGGAGCGGTGTTTGATGTCTAGAAACATATGTGACCAATAACAGACGCCCTTTAACTGGTTGTAAAAACAATAACTGGTGCTCAACTCAAAAGGTTGAAATGTGAAGACATGCTAATAAACAAGACCACTCAGGGACAAAGGAGAAAACTTGTAAACACAGAATAGAATCAGCTTCTCCCTGAGACAGGAGGAAAAGATGGGTATAAAATACACATATTATGTATTTATAAATACATATATATGTTTATATATATATATATATATATGTTTGAATGTGGATATAAAGAAATCTAGGGGGGTTTATGTCTCAGAGCTTCCATTTTCTTCCCACTATACCACTGAGATATAGAAAAGGAGACCACAAGTTTGAATCCCAATTCACCCTCCATGAATAATAGAATGTGCCTCTCTAAATTTCAGTGTTACTACCTGTAACATGGAAACAATAATAGTGAATTCATAGGTGTGAAAAATGTATAATGTGACAGCACTTTATAAACTATAAAATATTCTATCATGAGAAACAGCCTATTACAGTAGCCAGAATGCATATAAGGAGTGACCTCACTGGGTTCTTATATATAAAACAGGGATACAACTGTGCAGCTTACGCAGGTTACTGAAATCATGAAACACCAGTATGTGCCATGTATGCACATAAAAGGTGCTCTATGAGCAGGAGCTACTAGGCTGTTATTCCTCTGTGAATAAGAACTTGCCTCTGGGGAGAGAGAAAAGAAATTGCAACGGGGAATGAAAACAAGAAAGAGGCATGTAAAAGCATTTTCAAGCATAATTAAGAACTCATCTGGAAATAGGACTTTGCAGGTACAGCCATATTTGTATTTATGCTCTTCACAACAGCCGAAATGATGATTTGGTGATCTAGGAAGACACAAGCAGGTACACTAGAGGCTGAGGGCCAGTGCCATTGTGGGTACAATTGGAAATGTTGATCAGTGTAGATCTCAGAAGTTTAGAGATCTTCTCCAGCCTCAATACTTGTTGGCTGAATAGTGCCTTTCCTATTCAGAGTCAGCAGCCTGGGATTGTAAGGCTTTTTTCATTGTCATTTAAGTGACCTACCCCAGAGGCTTAGTGCCAGATGCCCTCACCATCAGCTGCACTCCAGTTTGAGGGCTACTGCTCTGAGTAGGACAGTGGTCAGCCAGGTGTCTAACTGTCCCTCCTGTTCTCTCACCTTCCACCCTTGGCTGACAGCACTGCTCAGCCTGTTCCCAGCCACCTCTCCCACCTGGGTTTTTGTTGTTTCCTACCACAAGAGACAGCAAAAATGTTTCCCATCTCCTCTGGAACAGAAAAGTAGAATTTGAGCCATGGATAAAGGAGCAAGACTGCTTGCTACCTATCATTTGTGCCAATAGAACCAGTTCTAAACCTCAGCACAGAATTTGCGGTTGCCATAGGCAGACTGCGACTGCACTTCTGCGCACACTTGGAAGTGGGTTATAGCATCAGCTACCAAGAGAATGTCCAGTGTCCTCTTAAAATGCTTAATGAGCCTTGGAGGCTCCAAAAGAGAGCTGCCAAATCTATCTTGATAGTTACTAAACTCACCTCAGAGGGAGATTCGAATTGCAAGAGCTCTAGTCTTCAATTTGCCAAATGGCAGTAATAAAGAAAATATAGGCAATTTCTTGCACATTATTAACTCCTATTTTAATTAATGGAAGACACATTCCTCATTTGGGAACACGGTTGATTCACTCACTCAGTGATTATCCATCAAGGATATACTAAATGCAAGGTGCTAATAACTATTCAAGATCTATATTCAAGAATATAGGAATTGTCCATGAGTAATATCTTAAATATCAGGGAAATTCAGAGAAAATCCTAGGTTCCTGTGAAAATACAACTCTGGAGATTCATTAGGGGTTGAATAGTCACAAAGCTTTTTCTTCTCCCTCCCCTGTGAATATCAACATCAATCAGGTAAAACTCAGCTCCAAGTACCTTGTTTCCTGTATGTTACTTTTACTCAGCTGTGGTCATGGACCACTGTGTAGATTGTCCCAGGATACCACTGCATCCCCACTCCCCACATGTGCTTCCCTACACAGCACAATCCATGCTGAAAGCAGCCCTGCCTTCCGCCTGGTAGGAGGAACCAAAAACTGCTCCTCCTGATTCTGTTTCCAATGGGGATTTCTCCCTCCAAACCACACATGCACATCAGTCCCGTCCTGCATGTGACTCAGTCACCTGTACCATACCAACCAGACCCCAATGGCCTCTGCAGCTACCATTTTATTCCTACCTGGTTCATGTACAGCTTTCATCCTACATCTGCCAGAGGGAGAATCTCACCTCTCATTGAAGACAAAATGCAGAGATAAACATCTATCCACCTCAATTCTTTGGCTCTAACTACACCTTCCTTCCATTTCTTCCTTTAAATAGCATTTCTCCTCTTTCTGGGTTATTTGTATATTTTCTTCTTTTCCCTCAGTTCTACTCTTTACATGTATCACAATCTCAATAGCTCATATATTAAAATCTTAGTAGCTGTTGAGATAGAGTCTTTTGGTCTATTTCCCACTTAGTTCGAAGAACAAAAGACTCACGTCCATTTAGTGGTAAACTCAAAATTAGGAATGTGTGTGCAGTAGCATTTAGTTTACACATTCTTCTCATTGTTACTTAAAAATCCTTTACTGTACAGTGAATCAGTGGTCAATTTGAGTCAATCCTGTGAGTATGACAGTGAGAATACAGCCCAGACTGCAACAGCTCAGACATAGGGATCTGGATCAGAGGTTCACCTCAAATCTCCTAAACTCTACATCCTATACTTCTGAAAGCCTCCACGTATGGAGACAAAAGAAACCACTTTCCTTCTATTCTGTGAGTGCAATGTCATTTCTCAGTGTTTTTGAGCTGAAAAATATTCCTTGGAATTCATGAAGAAAACCTTTGGGTAGGGTTTATGTACCAGAATAGGACACATATAGTCGGGGTAAAACGTTTTACATGTTGAAGACACACCTTTCCAGAGTGGGGGGCTGCTTTTGTGCACATACTGCAGTGGAGTGGGATTTTTGAAGAGTTGCTCCCAGCCGACCACTGCAGGTGCTACCTCGAGTTGAGTCTGCATACCTGGTCACTCCCTAGAGCTTTGCATTCCATAGGTGCCCTCTGCTGTGCAGAGTGTCCTTGTGCTCACTGGGCTCCAGAGGAGGCAGGCACATCTCACATTCAGGAGCGCAGCAGACTGGAGAGACGGGGCTCCCAGACTTGAGTGGGGACCCAAATCCCATACAAGACATGCTTTGGGGTATATTCTTGGGTACACAATGCTGATTCCTGCTGTGCTCAGCTTCTCTGGTGAATGTGGCAAATTAAGAACGTGGTGCTTTTTTCTCTTCTTACTATTTGTTGAATTTTTTACTTAGTGTATGTTTAACCTTATGAGTATAAAATAGACTGAGAGTAGATAATTGTAAAAAT